AATTTTTTATCAAGCAAAATCAATCAAGCCAGGTAGATAACTTTATATTTTATAGCTGCTTCGAAGAGTATGATTTTGGATATTACGACATTCCGCAGGAAAAATTGGCCGATATTTATATTTATATGTATGCTTCTGTACCTGTATAATTCAGGGTCGGAATCACCGATCCCAACTCTGGACAGGGTCAAGTGAGTCCAGCTTGAGCCCATAGTCATCAGGGTTTTATCGGTCAAGGAAAAGCATAATTGCGATTCCGTAACCCGAGGAGTATGTTTGGTTGAGTTGATGGGCTTAAGAGGGGTGTTGAAAGAATCCCAATGTGCGGTGGAACCATCAGTAAGCCGACTATTTGAGTCGAATTCTCTCATTCTTTCGATCTCTTTTCAAGTCTATCCATCAAACACGGGTATTATTGCCCATCTTCCCGTATCACTCTTCTGCACTCAACGTATTCCTTAATCTAGCAATAACGATAACTTGCCATACCCTGTGTTTAGCAGCAGACATACCATAATTTGTGTCAAGTTTTCTCCCCACGGCCGGCCGCTTGTGAACTTTGAACCCGGCAGCCTTTACGAGCATCTTTGTGACTTGCCAGCAAATATGGCGATAGGTTTCACCAACATAAAAGCTACCAAATATGCACAACCGAATCTTGACAATGGGCGATACTTCCCTCTGGATGAAGGCCTAACCAAAGAAAGTGTCATATATTGTTTGAAAAGTGTCTTGATTTCATCTACTAACTATTAAAGATATTCCTGCGCAGGATGCGTGAGGTAAAGCAAACTCATCTTTCCTAGTTACATGCATTTAGAAGGAATGCAGGGCCAACGGGCAGCCGCAGATTTGGAAAGATGAAAAGATGTCCCGGATAGGTTGTAATTGCTGAACTTTTATGTTTCATGCAATAAATCAATCAAACACTACCATCCCAAGAAGCCTATGACAACAGCTGACGTTTAGGCAACGATGCTCTAAGCCAGCGCAATCATGATGGCTTCAGTAGAATGAATGTGGGGTTGTTTTCGAGGCGTTTACTTTCTCGAGTTGGCGTCCTTCCAGGGTCTACTTCCACCCAATGACGCTATGCTCATGCTACTCATCGGAAATAAGTAGCTCAAGTCAGACATATCTTACGACACTGTTGTCCTGACGACCAACCAGGAAGGCGAACGTCTTTGCGCCTTGCTGCCTCATAGACCTAACTCACTGTCCAATCGTAACTGTACCACTGGCCATCCAATCAGAATGGACTATAGAGCCATGAGACGCCGGGCTGTCTGAAACCATGTGGAAATGTCCAGTTGATTCTCATTATTTCGGTCGCGTAAGCCTAACTCTGACTCCCCCTATATTGGTCTCGGCCATACTTAGACCACACAACTGAGGGATTGACTGTGCCACCGTGTTTTTTTTCGTCCGGTTCTGGCAACAGATCTGGAAGCAGGCCCAAATAACTTGTCATTTGGGGTCCATTTGTCACGATGGAGGAAGAGGCTAGTCGAAAGCTTGATATCCAATCAGAGAGCCACACAAGCCCTTGAAGCAACGTCGATACACTGCTAGCGGACATGTCTGTAGCTTTGCTCGCCAGAGTGTCTGCTTCTCAATCAACCGTACTGCATTCTCTCGGACCGATTGACTTTCGACCATCTACCGAGCTCTATGGTATCCGCAGGGCTTCGTGAGTGGACGATCAGATTGAGAACGGTCTGCGCACGTTGTCACCTGCGCGCCTCAAGAACGAAGAGTTGTCTGCCCATGTACAAACGGTTGCCAACACTGTCTCGGGCATGGTAGATTATTAATTTGGGACAATCGAACAGGACTATAAGCCTTCCAGTGAGGAAGTCTAACCGCGCTGAGCAAAGGGCGTATCCGTGCCCACAGACATGGTGTTTTCGACATAAAACCTATTCCGTAGGGTTGCTACCCGACTACTTTCACATTATTTTGCCCATTCGACAAAAGTTTTGGCCTTCATTTGTCATTCGAAGTTTGTATTTCACGACCTCAGTTTACCATTACTTGGTGCATTTTAGGTTAGATTTTAATTTTTTTTTCATGTTTTGTCTCATCTACCCGCCTGTACCCATAGACTTAAACATTTTATATTTTTAGTTTTGGTTCCTGAGCAAACGAGGCTTGAGTTCAAGCTAGTCTACAGCCATCCTTTTTGCCTTCTTCCACTGCACCCACCCGTGCTTTCAGTTGAATTTTCGTTGTTAACTTATCAGTATTTATTCATTATTCATTTGTTTTGTTTTTAACCTTATTTGCCTCGCCAACACATTCGTCACAACTCCACTCCGTCGGAACGAATTTTGAGACATGGGCTAGCCCAATTGGCACCATACTGCCAGTGTTGATTATTTTGAGACTACATCAGCTTTTTGTAAAACTTTTATTTGTGTCATACATAAAATAACATTAAAAAAAATATAGTCTTCTCTGCAGTCTGCAGAGTCTTGGCCAAAGATGCTTCGGTGCATCGGGAAAAAAACTGTAAAACCAGCCGGTAGACTGGCCAATGATGTTGTCTGCGACGCCGATGAGGCGAAGGAGGAGAATCAAGCCCGGCGATCTGCCACCTTATCGCCGCGACATCGAGCCCTCTCGGAGGGTCCAGCTCTGAATGGGTCGAGTACGAAGGCTTCTGCTGTCGACCTCGACGATGACGACGACCTCCCGGCGCCACGAAGACCCATCCACAGCCAAAAGTCGGCTACACTGTCCGGCGGCACCATCCCTCCACGAGGAGAGGACTATCCTGACCACAGCCGTAGTGGCCAGTTGGGAGCTGGCAATAATCCGGTTACTGCATTTTGGCGCCAGAGCAGGGCTCGCGCAGCCTCCCTGACGCGTCGGATAAAGTCGTTCTCCGCGTCTCGGAGTCAATCGACGTCGAGACGGGCCTCCAGAGACGTGACGCCGCACAATGAACCCGAACCCGAGTCCGAATCCGAGGAGACGCCAACGCCGACGCAGAATAAGAGTCGACCAGAATTGCTGCAGCTGTTCAACGGTCACCCGTCGACGTCCGCAGGAGCTGAGAAATCCGTCGCTAACGACCTCACCCTCGGCTCCTCGTTCAGTCAGACAAATGGGACGTTGGTCGATATAGACGCCACCCCGACTGCGGACTCGGAGGCCGGAAATCAGCAACGCTTTTTCTTGGAGTCCACTCGAGAAAGTCAGCCTCGAACAGTCGTAAATACCGATTTTCCAGGCTGGAACAAGGCAGCGCCCACGGTAGATACAGACAGCTTGTCCTCGCTGTCGACCCAACCGATCGGTAGGAAAGACACTAACATCTCGACTCCTGGCGACGGTACAGGCTCACCCTCTGGGCTAAAAGTCCCCGGTGACATGGTTTCCAGGACGCCGAACGACCCAAGAAACGCCACAACGCCCTCGCCACCGCCAGACGAGGCTGATGCAATGCCGCAGGGCAGTGAAAGTGTTTCAGAACCGGCCCATCCACATGCAACAGTTGCTAAGCGGCCGAGATTCCTGCAGGAGCCGGTGACCTCCAGCGGACAAACCAATAAAGGCGGAAATTCACCGAAATCAGGACAGGTGCGTACAGGACATACTCTATTCAGTTTTGTTTGTCACTTTACCAAATAGTCTTTGCCTCGAAATAATCATCTGATTGTATGTTTGACCGGGCTTAATATTAAATGGTCCTGATGTACAAGGCATAATTTCCAGGAATTAGGAGATATAGAGTTTATGTTCGGCACCAAAGATGTCTCGAATATTTTTAGTGGTTGTGCCTTATTGTGTGCTTATATAAAGCTAAGCATTATCCATTTAGCTTTGTCTTTTTTACGCCTTATTAATCACTTGAACGACGTGCCATTATAAATTCCTATTTAGACATAGCAACGAGGCAAAGCATGCATTTTTGCTTTTTTTAGTGGTCAAAAAGGTTAAAATAGATTTTAATAGGCTAGAGAAGATTGCAACATTCGTTTCATTCCTATTAATTAGTCTAACAGAAGAGTGCATGTGCAGATTACACGTTTTTCAAGTTATTTGTCTAGACCCAGAAGAATACGGTAACATCTATTCGCACTTCCTACTTAACATGAGTTAACTGATCCTGAGAAATTCTTGTTTGTAGCGCTACACTTTTAGCGGTGCACTCAATTAATTGCCTAAATAATATTCTTTAAATCTCTTCTTTATCACATCTTTACAAAAAACGCATGATTATATTATGATCATAAGAATACAGAATTGGGCATAAAAAGAATGGAATTCTCATTCTTTATTGCAGTTAATTTATCCAGTTGGGCATTCCTGAGTGCTTTTAGTTTATATGTTATCGTCCT